TTTTTTTTTTTTTTTTTAATTCTTTCGTGGAGAGACAGTTTTGTATTTTGTAATACAAAAGAGGAAAAGTGGAAAGGTAGAATTTGTTTTTTGATCGTTTCTCATTTTTTAGGAGTATGTATGTGTATTAAGAGAGGAAAAGTTTGTTTTTAATGAAATTGATCTTTTAACAATCGAGAAATCTTCGAATTGTTTGATTTTGAATGTTTAAAAGTGGCATCTTTTTGACGCGAAAGATATTTTAGTTTAGGATGTTGATCTAATATTTGATATTATTGATATTTAAATTAGATTTTTCGATAAAATTTAAAAGATGAAATTTTTAAAGGGAGATTTGGTAATATTCCCCAAGCAACAACTTAAAGTTATTTATAATTACAATGAATGACCATGTACAGTTAGAATTCCAAAAGGTTTATTACAATCTTCCATTCTTGTGTTACTTGCCTTACTTCTCCTCACAAGAATTGAAGTCTTTACCTTACCTTACCTTAAGAAGGATCTTGACGAATTTTGAAAAGATTTTGTACAGGTAAGAGACTGGGAGTGTGGTGCGCACAATCAAATGTCATCTCTCAAATGATCCTTGGAAAAGTAGCGAATTTACAACTCGTCGCGCCGTTGAGAATGGCCGCCCTTCCCGTTGTAAAAACATCCACGACTTCCTTTGTCCCTTCGAACGAAACAAAACGCTGATGCAACAGTTGTAGGGAGTAGAAAAATCCTCATTACTTAAATTCCAAATATCGATAAACCAAATTGTGTATATTATGTTAAAAAATAATTCTACTCTTTTACATTTACCCATCAGATCATCGAGACTCTCCTCCTACTGCTACAAAAATACAAAAAGATGGAAATACAACAATATTTCTTGCGACGAGCAAAAGGATTTACCTTTAGGATTTACGATCGAGATCGAGGAGAAAAATGCTCCTCTCCTCTCGCGCGAATTATCGACGTTGTGTTGTTACGCAATGTATGCACGGCGTTGAATCGAAACGCGTTAGCCACTCCCACGAGACCTTTGGGTGGCCATGCGTCGCGGCGAAGGCAAATATTATTCGAATTCCGCGTGCACACCCGCCATTAGGCCNNNTTAATCTCTCGGCCGGCTAACGAAACGCACGGAGGAGGAGAAGGGAGAGGGGGAGGGGGAGGAGGGCTCTGCCCGTTATTAGCGCCGAATTTAGAATTAAGCGTGTGCCACCCCTTTTGTCTCGAGGAAGGAGGGGGAGTCCGTGGAACAATGCCGAGGGAGGGAGAATAATTCTTTCACCGCCACGACGTCGACTTAATTCGCGGGACCGCTTTTAATTTCCATTTTCCTTCTCTCTCCGTCTCTCTCCCTCTCTTCTGCCCATCCGTTCTTACTTCTCTCCACGATCCATCGAGTTAATCGCCGCTCGATGGAACGATTTGGAATGTATATTATCGAGGGTGTCTATTATTTTTCTCTTCTTTTTTTTTTTTTTTTTTTTATTGAAGTATAACATCTAGTTGCTTGTAATCGATTTTGAAAAATTATGGAAAGAAGTTAGTGTGCGTCGAAGAGAATTGAATTTTCTTCGATTTTATCCGTTTGTTATCTTGTAGGATATAATTTTCCCCAGCTCAATTTGGAGATATATCTTATAAACTTGCGAATTTTATAGAGCTCATAACCTCGAAGGGGAAACACTTCCATCCCTTCTACTGACCTTCATCCCAAATGCAAATAGAATAGAGACCCATAAAGGATGACCAAACCCTGTATATATATATATATATATAGTGTATAAAAAGGAGGGATGCTGGGCTTAACTAAACGAATAATTCAATTGTTTTTCTAAATTTACCTTAACTTCCTCTCTCTCTCTCTCTCTTTCTTCGTTCTCAACGATATTGATTCGAGTAAATTCTATACACGATGCAGAAGAAAAAAAAGAAAAGAAATGCGGCGGTGAAATATATTAAAATTCGAAACATCGAAGGAAAAGAAAAAAGAAGACAAACTCCAAGAAATATACTTCTCCTCTCCTCTCCTCAGATACATAGTAGCCAAAGGTCGTATCCTTTCTCACGCGACTCCGCCATCCCCGCCTGGATCAAACCAGAAATTATCCCCAGAACAACCCCTTTCCTTCGATCTCTGGAAGAAGAGGAAGATATTCAACCCCTACTACGAGAAGAGCGAGCAGGTTATACGCAGCATAGGAGACGGGACGGCCGCTCGCTTGACCGTTGTCCACTTTCTCAGCATCCCTCCCCTCCCTTCTTCATCCGTTCTCCGTCCCGTGAGAATCGTAGAAAACTGGTCCAGAATCACGGATCACGATTGGGCGGGGAGGAGGGAGGACAGTTTGGATGTTTCGTGTCTTCGCTGCACCCGTGTGCAGAGGGGGGGACCAAGGTGGGGCCGTGGAAAAATGACGTTCAGTCGTGGCTCGGCTCGCCTCCAGCCAACGAATCGTCTCGATCTCGAGAAATTTTCCTCTTTCTTATTTTTCCTGATAACGACTCGCTTTCCGATCCATTCCGTTTTTCGGATTCTCGCGCGCGCGCGCGCGTGTGTGTGTGTTGTCGGAGGGGAGGGGCGGATAAGCGGCGGAGGTCGAAGGAGGCGAGGCGCCGAAAGCGCGCGCGGCGATTACCGCTAATTGCCGCTCTAATTGACCCACATTCGCCTCGTCGTCGAGGCGAGGCCGACGTTTTTCGCGTCTCGACGCGCCTTTCGAGTGGGGGAGGTGGAGGTGGAAGATAGAGAGGAGTTGAAGAGGAGGAGAGTACTTGTCGAGGAGGATTTTTAATCGCCTCGATTTCGAAATTTGAGAATCCCTTAAAAATCGAAACCGGGATAGTTTGTCGCCTTGGATCTCCCTCTCCCTCTTCCCCCTCTAATTTTTTCCTCCTAATTCCCCTAACCCTATCTCCGTCTGTCTCTAATTATTACCATTAATTTATTAAGCGCGTCGTGTATATCGGCTTTAAAAGCTCGCCCGCCTTACTCCGTTTCCTTTAAGCCAATTCGTTCGACTGAAACACACTTCCCGAGTAATCCATCTTAACGTAATTAACCGGTTATACGTCGAGTAGTTAGCGGTCGACGTTCAACTCCTCTCTCTCTCTCTCTTTCTTTTCGGTTTTTTTTTCTTTTTTTTACCTCCTCCTCCGCTTGCTTCTCGTTTCTCACCTTGTTCCGGGTCATTGTGCCGGTGGATAGGGGATTCCAACTCGATGGAGAATTTTGTTCTCGACGAGGAGGAGGAGATACGTTTCTCGATCGAGAGAAAGAGAGTGAAAGTGAATTTTTTTGAGATTCTTTGAGTATCTTTTGGTGGAAGAATTTTATTTCCCGTGTAATTTTGGAAAATTTTAGGAAAGGAATAATTATCCTTTGGATGATTGGATCGAGAAGAAAACTTGGATATATATACAATTCTTTCAACTGAAAAGGGTAAGTGGAATAAGTTGATTCATCGAGAAATTACGAAAGCGGCTCTTTCCAAAATCGAATACAATTCTTTGCGTATCTCTCTCGTATCGATTCGAAGATTTCTCATCTCTTTGTTTTAGAAAAAAAATATATATATACAATAATTTTCTTGTGTCGTTAAAAATCATCTCGAGTCGTTACTGGTCGAGCGCGAAGGGAGGTTGAATTCTTGAGAAAGGAAAAATAATAATAACAATAATCAGTGGGGAGAGGAAAGAAACTTTAAAATTTTTTCAAAATTTAACGAGCCAGAAGAAGAAATTAGATTCCGTGGAAGGATCAAAAATTCGAGATTTCCTCGCCCTGGATTTTCCACGCGCCCCATCCAAGATCAACACGGTCGGATAAGTGGCTTCCGTTAGCCGGCGGATCCCGGAGCAAGAAAAAGAATCCTGGTTTCCTGTACAACCCCATCCATCTCTGGCCAGGATGTTCCCACCCCCTACTAGTAGTAGTAGTAGGAAGTCGCCAGTTACCTCTCTCTCTCTCTCTCTCTCTTTCTCGAAGAGAAAGAAGAAGAAGAAGATATCCGCGAAAATTTCACGACCTTTTCCTTTTCTTCGAAAGGAACAAATTTTGTCCACAACCTCCTCCTCTCCTTCATTGTTTAAACCTTTTTGGAAAAAAGAGAGAGAGGTGTCTGGTCTCTGCATCTGCATCGTTCCGTTTTCCTCCAAAGGAAGGAGGAAAATTGATCGAAGCGAGGAATTTTGAAGAAACGAAGTTTTGAGGAGGAGGAATCGAAAATCGCTTTGAGGGAATTAACATATATTTAATATAATATACGTATAGAGAGTGTGTAAAACGAAGATTTGTGTGAAAAAAAAAAAAAAGAAAAGCAAAGATTTATTATTATTATTATTTCCAAATTGTTCAAATTATTATATTTGATCGTTTGCTCGAACTGATCGATATATGATATTTAATTTCCAGGGACGAATGTACGCGCATCGAGAGGGAGGGGAGGAGGAGAGCTCGAGGGAGGATATCTAAGATCGCCCCCCCCTCTCCACCGTTCGTTACGCGGGAACTTTGATACCGGAAACGAGTCGAGAAGAAGACATCCAGGGCGCAATCGTGCGGATAA